CATCCAGCCCTGCACCTTGTTGTCTCCTTTTTTATACAGATTACTTCCACCCCAGAGATTACAAAAACAATGTGAATCCTTCTCCCTGTCCCAGCTCCTCAGCCACTCCTTAATCTGCTCTATCCTCCCATTCCTACAGTCACTTGCACTTGGCACTAGGTGTAATCTAGATATTACTACCCTCCAGGACCTGCTTTTAACCTCTTGCCTAACTTCCTATATTCTCTCCTACACATCTCATCCATTTTCTGTCATTAGTTCCAATGTGTACAATGTCCTGCTGGTTATTCTCCCCTCAGAATATTCTGCATCATCTGAGATCCTTGATCCTAGTGCTGGAGAGGCAGCATGCTGTTCTGATGTCTTAGCCACAAATGTCTGTCTGTGCCTCTAGTCCTCTCTCTGACAGCCTTCTGGATCTACTGCAGAAGCATAGCCATCAGGGCTACATTCCCGAGTCCCTCACCCTCCTACAGTTGCCAAAACTGTTTACTTCTTTGAGATGGGGATTGCCACAAGAGACTCCTGCACTACCTACCTCTTTCTACCTTTTCTTCCTCCAAGTAACCCATCTACCTAACTGCTGGTTTTTCTACCTTCCTGAAACTGCCATCCAATGCACCCTGGTTCCTGTAAATTCCCCACTGCTTCTAACTGGCTTTCCACCCTGTCCATGTGCTCTGATCAGATTCCCAACCAAGCACTTCCTGCAGGCATAATACTCTAACTTGAATGTGGGAGATTGGAGAATTTCCAACAGGAAAAATGTCACTCTACTAAAGGCCATCTTTGCACCTTAATCTACATACCCAGAAAATAATGTATTTGTACTGTGCTAGAATAATATAATCATAGCAAATCATAGAATCCCTATAGTGTAGAAACAGGCCCTTCAGCCCAACAAGTCTACACTGACCCTCAATGTCCCACCCAAGATTCAGAACACAAATCTTACTCGTGCTTTTTCCTTCCCTGCCTCCCCCACCCCCCCCACCACCCAGAGTGCTTGATACAATCTTAGTGTAATATCACTACTGGGTTTTTCTATTTAATTGAAACCCCATGAGTAGCTCCAAGATTGTAAGACTAGCACTGCTTTTTTTTCTTCCAGGTTTACATGAACTATCAGAGAAAGAGCACAGTTGGTTGGAGCATTTGGAATGCACTGCTGGATATTACTGGAGGCACTTTTAGCCTCCTGCAGATGTTCCTGCAATCATATAACAATGGTAAGCTGCTAGGCCTTGAGAATACTGAAATATCACCACTCAATGGGGGGTGTAGGCTGTAAGGTAAGCATCTCAAGGTTTTGGTATCAGCATTGGACTTGGGTTTTTTATTGAAAAGCTTTTTGTACTGGACTTAAAGGCACACCTCTTCAAAATACTGATCTTTACCTATACCTATCTCCTGTTCCAGCTCAGTTCTGATTTGACTTGATTTGTGATGTTGAGTATTGTTTGAGCCTTGACTGCTCAAATAATGTACCTCCTGATCAGGACATTACTGCAGGTTCTGGCCTGCTCTTCCTAGTGCCCATTCTTCAGTCTTTATGACCAGGGTGGGCAGTTTCCAGTTTTGCAAACAGTGGATATTTAATTACTCCAATTTGTTTCTTTTTTTTGGTTTTACTATATTAGTTTGAGTTGAGAGCTGGAGAAACATGGCAGGCCTGGCAGCATCTGTGGAAGGAAAATTATGTTTGAGTCTGGTATGAATCCTCTTTTGGAACAAGTCATTTCTGGACTGGAACAATTTAACTGTGGTTTAATCTCTACAGGTGTTGCTAGATCTGAGTTTGTCTAGAATTGTTTTCCCACTTCCAGCATCTGCAGTATTTTGCTTTTAGACTGTTCTTTTGGACTTTTACTTGCTAATATAATCTACTTTGTCTTGTAGATGAAGAGATGCTGATCTTGGGTGATCCAACTAAGTTTGGTCTTGGACTGATATCAATGTTGTTCGATATTATCTTCCTGGTGCAGCATTATATTCTGTACAGAAAGCACAAAGTCTATATGTCACTAAATGATGGAGCCTCTTCTGTAAGCTAGCATCATACACAGGCATCCACTTGGCACAGTTCAATTTGTGTGGTAATGTTTTTATGTATTGGTTAGTAATGATTTTGAGTATCGTGCCATGTGAAAGACTAAATGAAATGTTAGCCATTTTCACATGGTTATTTGTCAGCATGCTGCTTTCATTAGTTTCCAACTCCACCCCCTTAGTAAAACTGAATACTTGCTGCTACAGGACTGGAGTTCCTCCTATTGATCTTTTTTCTCTGCAGTAGAAAACCAAAAGTCTTAAGACTAAGAATGAAGCAGATGATTGGAAAAAGATTAACATCCCTTCCACCAAATCAAAGTGGTGAATGCAATATTAATTTGTCTGTTTTTATGTAACTCTGCACCTTGGGTGAAGTTGTCACTTTTTTTTGTTTGAGCCCATCCTTCTGGGTGTTCATGTTGCAAATTGGGTTTCGATTTGCAACTTCTAATTCCTCACTAAAATCTCCAGATAATTTAGTATTTAGCAAGGGGTCTATTGGAAAACCTGCCATTTGGTGGTCTTTAAACTGCTCCAATGATTGGCTGTTACAAAGTGTAAATTGGGACTTTTTTCTTTCACTTTGACCTTCAAAACAACCTTGCTCATTTCCTCTATATAGTCTCTGAAGATACTTGGATTGCAGGTTCTCCCTCCTGAATCAAAGCTGAATGGTGCTTGAATGAAATGTGTAATCAATACAAAACTTTTTTTTTTTTTTAATTGAACTGTAATCTTGTATTTGTGGAATCTGAATTGACTTTAAGTGCTGTTTTATAATAAACTTTTTTTTGTTGGGAATGTTGAACTTTTTTCCTTCCTTTCTCTTCCTCCCTCCTTCCCCTTGCCCCTGACACAACCTCTGGTTCCTTTCATAGTTAGAATTGTCTCAGCCTTGAATTTTGCCAAAGGACCAGCCTCTAGGCCTCTGCTGTAAATGATATCAGTGACTGTCCTCCAAGAACTTCCTACACTTCCATTTTTTCAAATGAGTAAGTTGGAGTACATCAGTGCACACAGGCACATGCACACCTGCACCTTTTCAGGTGTGCTCAATTGTTTCAATAAGGTCTCCTCTCAATTCTGTATTCAAACCAGTACAAGCCCAATCTACTGAACTCTTCCCTGGGAGAAAATCCCTCCTGCCTTTGAATCGAAGTGAGTATGGTGACGAATGCAAGAGTAATACAAATCAACATGCAGACCAAGGAGCAAAGAAACCCTGTGGTGGGGGGGGGGGGGGGGGGGGGAAGAAATATGGACTTTTTAATTTGGCTTCTTTGTGAAGGAGGGTAGAAGCATTGCAGCTACTTGGTTGAGTGGTTCTGTTGCCCTCTATCATAATCCACATGCTATGGAGATTCTCGAGTTCAGAGGGACTTGTTCCAGTTTTTGTAAACCCAGACTTGGTTTAACAAGGGGGAGGCAGATAAAAGATGGATAGAGGAGAAGATAAGTGGAGAGGAGACAGACTGGTCAGAGGCAGGGATAGAGCCAGTAAAAGTGAGTGTAGGTGGGGAGTTAGGGAGGGGATGGGTCAGTCCAAGGAGGACAGACAGGTCAAGGGGGTGGGGCTTGAGGTAGGAGGAGAGACAGGTTAGGGAGGCAGGGACAAGCTGGGCTGGTTTTGGGATATGGTCAGGGGAGGGGAGACTTTGAAGCTTGTGAAGTCCATGTTGATACCATTTGGGCTGTAGGGTTCCCAAGCGAAATGAGGTGCTGTTCCTGCAGCCTTCAGGTGGCATCATTGTGGTGCTGCAGGAGGCCCAGGATGGATGTGTTGTCTGAGGAGTGGGAGGGGGAGTTGAAATGGTTCACAACTGGGAGGTGGAGTTGTTTAGTGTGAATGGAGTGTAGGTGTTCTGCAAAGCAGTCCCCAAGCCTCTGCTTGGCTTCCCCCTTCCTCCTACCTCAAGGCCCTGCCCCACCTGTACCTACCAGCCTCATCCCACCACCTTGACCTGTCTGTCCTCCCTGGACTGACCCATCTCCTCACTACCTACACTCTCTCTTTTTTTAACTGGCTCCATCCCTGCCTCTGACCAGTCTGTCTACTCTCTGCCTATCTTCTCCTCTATCTGTCTCCTATCCACCTTCTTCCTCCTTC